GGGCAGGCGATGGAGCTCCCTGCGGTAGGATGCGACAGTGAAGGCAAGGTCAGGGAAGCGCTGAGGATGTGGGGGAGAAGGTAGAGGTTTAGTTTTAATTCAGCAGTCGTGTGGTGTTTCGGGAGTGACTTTCAAAATGCCAGCTGGCCACAGCGAAATTATACTGTATTTTTCTTCCCCCCCAAGCGAACTAGAAACGCCTCCGGTGCCTTTCTGCGTGGGGCTGGGCTCTCGCTCTCGCTGCTTCTGCTGCGGTGTTGGAGCACGGTCCTCTGTGGTGCTTGGTGTTGTGTCAGTGCCTTTCCTCTCAAAAGCTTCTGTTCTGCGGTTGTGTCATTGTCTCTGTGATCGCGCTAGATCTGTGTGGTACTTTTTAGTGCTTCTTGAATCTGTTCTCTGTGTTTAATAACGCCACAGATGACATGTTTTTTTTTATCGTGAACTGGGACTGCACTGAGACGGCAGGGGTGAGAGAGGAGCAGCTTTCTCTTGAGAGTTGATGCGCTCTGCTGTGGCGGAGGGGTTATTGACTCCTGCGAGGGAGTCAAGGGGAAGACATGGAGGAAGAGGGGCGGTGAAGGGACAGGTTGTCTCCGGTTCTTCGTCACGCTGACCCCTGACAGATTTGCTCGTTATTCTGTTCTACACTCGCCACGCTGGAGCTGCCCGTGTGCAGCTGTGCAGTCCGACTGTGGAGTGTCTTTATCGTGAGTTGCGTGTGGTGTTTCAGAGTGCAGTTGTAAGCGCACAGGGCCCTAGTAAAGTCACTGACAGAGCGGTACAGTATGATGTTCAAAGATGTACCCAGGCTGCTTTGAATGCATAGAGACGTAAAAATGTGCTAGCTAGCTGCCTACCTGTTCATTATTAGCAATGGACCATCTCTTCCTTTACAGCCTGTGACAGTACAGCCAGCACCGTTGTTCCCCTGAAGAGGATCGTGAACCTTTTCCTCTCTCTTTAATGCTGCTGTTCCTCTTGTCCAGTTTGTCTGTGGGACACCCATGCTGCGTCTTGCACGATGCAGCTCGTTGCTGTGGATTTGTCCTGTAGTTTGGTTGAGCGCTCTTCTCCGTTACCCTCCGTGGATTTCTGTGGTTGTCTGTTGAATCTGTGCATTGTGTTGAGAGATGGCCGCTTGGCCCGTCCAGCCTGATCTGGTTCTGGTAGTTATCTGATCCTTGGGCTGAGGTGCTTTGTAGAAGTGAGTTATTAGTAATAACAGCCCGGTGGTTTCCTTGTCTTTGCAGGTGTTAGGAGCGGCGGTGACCAGTCAGAGGGAGAAGTCGACCTCCTCGGTGAGTAGTCTCTCTGCAGAGCTCCCTCTAGTGGACAGGGAGGGTATTAGCAGGACAAGGCTGTCCTGCCTGAAGGACAGCTGCTGTGTACTATATATACAGTACACGTTGATCCAGACTCGGCTAATGGCCCGTTTTCTGTCCAGCGCTTCTGAAATGTGTTGAACTTAAAATTTTGAATTTATTCTCTCTGTATCTCAATAAATAATTTCAGCAGACCCAGGGGGAATAAGACCCCCATTGTATAGCTGTTTGAGCCAGCAACCTTTAAAGATTTTCAGTCACTGAAGCACATTATGCTGACAAACTGGATCAAGAGGTGGTCTTTTCACTCTTTGTCTGTGCCATAGGTCCTTTTTCTCAACAGGACTAATATACCTCTTACTTTAATATACCTTTTAACCTCATCTTGTCACATCTCAGAAACTGAGACTGAGGAAAACCAGGTTCCTGCTGTAAGTGGTGCTGGTGGACCAGTAGGTGGCGCTCTGCGCTCTGGACTAGAATTCCAGTATCCCGGCATGGTGCTGCAGGAGATTCTGTCCTTTGGATGAGACGTTAAAATCAAGGTCCTGAACGTCACGTGACACTGTTCCTTCTTTATCGTGTTGGTGAGGTCATTTCTCACTCCTCCCCCTGATCAACAGCTAACTGCGTCTCCTCTCTTATTCCCTGCCTCCTGCTTTCCTGCGCCCGCCCTGCGCTGCTGACCGGAGCCAGATCATAGTGAGTACGGTTCTTCCCTTGAGCCTGCCTGCCCTGCGGGGCTCAGCGTCGCACAAGCACACCCGCAGAATGCCTGCAGACACGGCGCTGTGCTGATCTGTCTCGCCCCGGCATGCCGAGCCACTTGGGCTCACGTCCTGTACTGAAACGGACGAGGACATCCGGGCTTTGAAATTGAAGGAAATGTTGGAATTGTGCTGTAGTGTAAAATGGCCAGCGCTGACAGTGTTCCTTGATGATTCGGCATCTGTGACGTGTAAAAGACACAGAAATAATTTAAGGAGCAGCAGAGCGATCTCGGATGCCGAGCTGTGTCTGGTTGAGTGTGCGCTGGTACATCAGTGGCCTGCAGTGTTTTCGTTCACAGGGTTGCGTGTTTTAGAAATCACACCCATGCCCACGCAGAGCTGTCCTTGTGTGTCTCACTCGCCCGTCTCCTCTACAGCCCCCTCCAGCGAAGTATGGCGGCCGGCACACCGTGACGCTGATCCCAGGCGACGGCATCGGGCCCGAGCTGCTGAACCACGTCCGCGAGCTCTTCAGGTGCACAGACCTGCCTGTCGCCGCTGCAGGCACTGACTGTCCTGCAAATGTTCTGTCTGATGCACGCGCAGACTGACGCTAATCTGCTCTCACTGCACAAAACCGCAGACGTCGACTGACGATGTACTGCGCACTCTGTGTGACTGCTGGTATACACTATCGCTTTCAGAGAGTGGCTGTGCTGTCAACACTGATGCATGCACCCTGTGCTGCACACATTGACCCGTATGTACACCGCACGCAGTGTGTGACATCGTGCTGTAGACTGTCATGTAGAGAGGGCGTTGCACAGTGCGAACAGGAGGTTGTACCGTGTGTCTTGTTGCACAGGTTCTGCTGTGTGCCTGTGGATTTCGAGGTCGTCAATGTGAACTCGTCTCTAACCGAGGAGGATGACATCAACAACGCCATCACCGCCATCCGCCGCAACGGGGTGGCGCTGAAGGGTCAGTGTGTGTTTCCTGTTGCGCGGTGCATACAGGTATAGGCAGTATGAGTGTTCTGCATAGTTCGTGTATTCAGTCCAAGTAAATTTACAAAGGATTCCAATAAAGAGTAGAGTATGGCCAGCAGATATATCATCCTGGAACTCAAAACTGGCAGTCCGGGGAAAAACTAAGGCTGCTGCTGGAAGAGGTGTTAGTGGGGCCAGCAGGGGGCACTCAGCCTACAGCCTGTGTGGGTCCTAATGCCCCAGTATAGTGACGGGGACACTATACTGTAAAACAGGCGCCGTCCTTCGGATGAGACGTCGTCCCCGGCGTCCTGGCCAAATTTCCCATTGGCCCTTACCAATCATGGCCTCCTAATAATCTCCAACTATGAATTGAGTGTACTGGTGCACTATGGCTGCTGTCACATCATCCAGGTGGGGCTGCACACTGGTGGTGGTGGAGGGGAGTCCCCATGACCTGTAAAGCACTTTGAGTGGAGTGTCCAGAAAAGCGCTATGTAAGTGTAAGCAGTTATCATGAAGAGTACACTGAGGTAAAAACAACCTGAATGGCACAGTGACATGTGATATGCATTGTCGGCAGTGCAGAAACCCAGCCTGTAGAGGGCAATGTGAGTCTGAGGTGTGTGGGGAGAGGGGGCAGGAGCACCAGTGTGTGCTTCAGAGCGGTCCTGACCGAGGAGGTTAACAGCCACACCTGAAGCACAGCTGAGAGAGTCTTGGTGATGAATTTTTGTACAACAACATTGCTGGGCTGTATTTACTGCTCCGGGTTAAAGGCCAACCTCAACGGAAACTGCAGTATTTCTCTCGGTCTCAGCCAGCGGGTGCTGAACACTCGCATGGTCCTGTTCCGTTTGTCCAGCTAATCCCACACTTGAACAGCGTGGGAGATCAGCTCTTTCTCCAGCTTGTCTGTCCCAGGACCTGCAGAGATAACCATTTTGCGGACCACACGTCTTGCCTCTCCACACATCTAATAGAGATGTGACCTTTAGTTTAATCCCGTTCATTTTTTTGTTCTCCTTTGTGACTTTTCAGAAATTCCACGACACACCCATTTAATATCTAAAGGCACGCAGGTTGAGAGAGACTGAATAATCCAGCGACTCCGTTTCTTTGTGCGTCTGTCTCTCCAGGCAATATCGAGACCAACCACACTTTGCCTCCCTCCCACAAGTCCAGGAACAACCTGCTCCGGTGAGGCTGGTCCCGAGCCCTCTGCGGGTCTCCGAGAGTCCTGGGACAGCCGGGGCATGGCTCCCCACAGTGTGGGAGATTCAAGAAAGAGCCTGACACTGGGGGGCCCTGCCAGCGGTGGGGTACAGATCGCACTCCCAGTGCGCAGCAGACGGGTCCAGCGCAGGTCTTACTGAGAGCTGCGGCTCTTGAATAGAAGTGCAGGAAGTCCACACTCTCAGTTAGGCTCGTTGATGAGCAAGGTGCCGTGAGTTTATCGTGTACGCATGCAGGCGTTGATCAGCCACAGAAGCAAAAGGCAGTTCAAAGCACCAGCTGGAACTGTTCTCATTTATATAGACAAGCAGTTACAAAAACAAGCACAAAAAGGAATAGATAACACATTTGTGCAGTAAAGGGTAAAGCAAAGATATCGCAGGACAGCTCCAAACATCCACTCCCTACTCGTCTTTGAACATTATCTTTAAGTCCAGCGCAATTTCAGTTCAGTCTGTTGCTCCTGTTACTTCTCAGGCAGTCCAGACAGCTAAGAGCTACAATGCGCTCTTAACCTTTTCCTTCAGAAGTGAGCTATCAAGTGCTGGATGTCTCAGGCTTGTTGGTTGCTTTTGATTGTTTGTAGGAACAGTGACTTGGGAGTTAAAGCAGTGTAAAAAATCTCTGGGGCTTCCTCGTTCCCGTTTGTGTAAGAGCTGTCTGTTAAGAGGCGAAACAGACTGAAAAGCTATCCAGGAGGCATGCCCCAGTGAGGCACAGCTACAGTTATGTCTGGTCTATTGGAGGATTTTATTTTTTGGTTATTCGGTCAAG